CTCCCACTCTGTCTTCCATACCTGCCAATTCACACGAAGACGGCATAATGCAGATAAACTGGCACTAAGATAAGGTTACACAGCCGATCAACATATTCTAACACAATTGGTATGTTAAACACTGGTATAATGACGTCAACCACAGCGGTGCAGTACAAAATATAATAATAACCAAAGGAGGAAGACGCAATAAATCCTGGGTGTGAAAGTCAACCTCACTATTATTTGGTTCACCTTTGCAAAATGTTTCACGCGAGACACCTCTTGAAAAGTGTCCAGAAGCTTCAGTTGTAATATGTGGCATCCCGGATACTAAAAGTTGCAGGAGCCGGTTTGAGACTCTTGTGAGGATGGCTGCCCATTGTTTTCTGGGTGTAATTTAAAGAATTCAGTTTCAAACCCCTAAATAGCTTAGGGCCTAAGAATATGTTCCCCGTGAGGAACGTTTCCCAACAGAAGATCCCAAGAGAGGTCTTTCTAAAGATCTCTGTTCCTTAATTCGGCATGGAAAGGTCCTCCTGTATTTAATTATTTGTCAGCCACCTATATTCAAGCAAAGAGAAGGACAGGACACAAAAGGAATACTGTACCTTCTCACCCAAAGTAGTAAGCAGACTCTGCAAAGCCACTTCTGGGTGTGATCTGCAGCACAACAGCAGCTTCCCAGATGCCAAGATGCTCAGCGCTCTCTCTGTTTAAGGCCGGGGTGTCCAACCTTGGTTTAAGGCATCACCTTTGCAACTCTAAGAGAAATAAAGGATGTTTTTAAAATGATTCCGTTTGTAGGCCTGCTTCACTGAATTTTTCAATTATCATTTCCTTGTTCCTGAAACTTTGATGCACAGTCTTTGTCCTTTCTCGCCCAACAAGTCTTGGGGAAAGGCGAGGCATCTCTCCCACACCCCACACCCGTATTACTTATTTATTTGGGATTTGCCTGGTCCTTAGTCAGTTTCTTGAGTCCCTCTTCTGGTCAGTTTTTCATCTGTAGAAAAGTTCCACTTTATCTCCGGGTGCAATCTCCCTCCGGTCTATGACAATTAGCCACGGTCAACTCAACTCGCTGCAGGAAAAGAAGTTACACTAATACCAAAGAAATGGTGGAATAGAATCCTTAAAGAAAGGATGCAAAAGAAGGGACAATGTGAAATGTGAATGACAAAAATTAAAATTATTTTTAAAATTATTTTAAAGAATTAAATTGAATTGTTAAATTGTCCGGGGTGGAGTGTTGTCCCTCAGCAAGTTGGCCATGGTGAGTTGTCCTGTGCCAAGTTGCCCATGATGAGTTGGTTGCAGTGAGTTGAGCATGGCGAGTTGAGCTTGCCGCAACAAGTTGGCTGTGGCAAGTTGTCCCATTCTGCCTCCCTCTACCCCTGCTTGCATCCAGAATTTAGCTGGCCTTGGACATGGGAGCTCTATCATCAGGCAAACCTACCTGGGTTTTTCTGGCAAGGGGTGAACTGCGAGAGAGGCATCCAGGATTCGTCAGGATGGCCGGCCTGCTTTCCAGGTTCTTCTCTGCTGAACCGTTTTCTGTTCTCTTGAAAGAGATGAATTGGAAGTGTTTTTGATTTGGGGCTTCTCCACCCTCCCCCTTCCCTCCATGAGCCTGAGATTTCAGAAACCACGTTCAAGGGTGAGGCACAGGAAGAAGATGAACAGGAGGGTTGAAGTTGAGAAGCTGGCATGTGTAGCGTATGTCAAGGACCATTAGGATCTCTATTGTGATAACAATCGGGCATCCTCTGAAGTCCTTTATGGTGATATCTTTCACATCAGTAGTTCGCTAATTTTTCTCGATGGGCTGGAACTCTGCGATGAGGGTGGCTTGTTTCATAATGCAGTAGCTGCGCTGTCCAGCCAGTGTATGGGAGTTGGATAGTTAGGTAGCAACTGTGAGCTGTTCCCTTAAGGGAATGCATCATAGTAAATGTAGTTAAGGTATCCTGGGAAATGTAGTCCATATCATGTGACCACATCTGTAATCCTGTTTGGTCACTCAATTGACCCTTGAGGGATTGAGGGAGGTTTTCCTCACTCTTGGCTGAACTCATGGACTCGTGGTAACTATTCTACTTCTATCGTTACAAGATGAGAGAAAAAGATAGGAGATAAACCATCTTTTTACCTACAAGACAGATATGCAAAGGATTGGTCATTAAAGAAAAACTTCATCACAAATGTGAGTTATGAGGATACCTGATGAACCAATAAAAGTACTTTGTTATGGATGTTTTGTGGAGTTTATCTATACAGGATACAGAACAGTAGCAACTCAGCTGTGGAGTGAAATGGCTGCACCATTAAGTAGGGAGGGAGAGGGAGATGTTTGAAGTGGCCATCTTTGATGGACCGCAATTTGTGTTGCTATATAATTTACTGAGTCTTTGTGAATTTCCACATTAAGTGACCACGGAGGATTGGTTCGCATGTTACATAGCCATTAACCAAGAAGCCTGGCACAGTGGTTAGAATGCAGCATTGCAGTCTGACTCTGCCCACAGCCAGCAGTTCGATCCTGACTAGCTCAGCCTTCCATCCTTCTGAGGTCAATAAAATAAGGACCCAGATTGTTGGGGAAAATCTGCTGACTCTGTAAACCACTTAGAGAGGGCTGGAAAGCACTGTGAAGCGGTATATAAGTTTAAGTGCTATTGCTAAGTGCTATAACGTGGTTGGTTGGTTGGTTGGTTAGCTGGTTTGGGAGTTACTATGATGCTTCTTCCATGCGATGAGATTTCCCATCCTGCTAAATTGAGCAAATGTAGATTGGGGTTTTTGATGAAACTTGAGGATGACAGGGTTGATTGACAGCGAAGCAGACTGCTTAAGAAAACGAGGGCTTCTCCTTTGGGGATTTTAACGCAAGACTTGATGGCTTGGTTCTGTGCTAGAGGATTTTTGACATTAGGGATCTGGATTGTTTTGAGGGGCTCTAAACAATCACACATTGGTTATCCACAGGTTTCTTCCCCAAAGAGGGATTAAAAATGGAAAAGTACAAATCTGTTTACTCCACCCACGCTGTTTGTTATTGTGCATGATACTTTTTCCAAGTTTTAAAAGTTTGCATAGATACTGTCTCAAATCCACTCTTAATGATAGGAATCCGAGCCTCTCTCCGTTTGAGGCAAATGCTGATTATTTCTTTCCTATCACAGTTATTGTCTCTTTAGCACCATCATGTGCCCAAAACCAGTTACTGGGTACTAGAAATAAAATGTGATATACCACAACAGCAGACAAGATTATTCTACTGAAAAATATTATGCTGTGGCTTGTGATAATAGCAATAGAAACAAGCACAACCAAGCTATTTGTAGAAAGGAAAAAACTATCCGCTTTAATCAACAGGTATAGTTTTAATTGCACAAAATGTACATTTTGGTAAAAGATGAAGGACTGGCAATATGGCTGAAGACATATAACCTGGGATTTTGGGCAAAGTGGGGGGTTGTGGGGGTGTGTGCAAAAGAAAACCCCCAAAGCAGTTGATTCGTTCTATTCCCTGACGGCCAATGGAGGTTAGTGACAGGATTTGTGAATGTAACTATAATATAGGTAAAAATTCAAAACCTAAAAGACAGATTAGGGATAGGTTGTCATAGAGGAAAATAACAGAATAACAGAGCTGGAAGGGACCTTCTAGGTCATCTAGTCCAACCCCCTGCCCAAGCGGGAGACCCTATACCATTTCTGACAGATGGCTGTCCAATCTCTTCTTGAAAGCCTCCAGTGATGAAGCTCCCAAAACTTCTGTTCCATGGGTTGATTGTTCTCACTGTCAGAAAATTCCTCCTTATTTCCAGGTTGAATCTCTCCTTGATCAGTTTCCATCCATTATTCCGTGTCTGGCCTTCCGGTGCCTTGGAAAATAGCTTGACCCCCTCCCTCCTCTCTGTGGCAGCCCCTCAAATATTGGAATGCTGTTATCCTGTCTCCCCTGGTCCTTCTCTTCCCAGAGACTAGCCAGGCCCAGTTCCTGCAACCGATCATCGTATGTTTTAGCCTCCAGTCCCCTCATCCTCCTGGTTGCTCTTCTCTGCTCTCTTTCTAGAGCCTCAACATCTTTTTTTTTTTAGTGTGGTAACCAAAACTGGATGTAGTATTACTTTCTCTTTATTGTAAGCCACTCGAATAAAAAGTCGGTTTGGATGGTAAGATGGACAGCATATAAATTTAACTTAAAAATTAAATTCTTCTAATGACTCTTGCGTTCCTTGCCAAGGTTATCTCTACAATCCTCTACCCCTGTACAAGCTGAGTTGAATGCAAAATGTTCTTTCATTCTGCCAGTCTCATGCGATATTTAGTCTTCACTTAATGACTGCAGTGATTTTCTTAACAACGGTAAAAAAAATGGTCATGGATCCAGTCACAGGATGACTCACTTAATGACCACATTGCTTAGTGACTGAAATCCTGCTCCCGATGGTGGTCGTAAGTCAAGGACTACCTGTGTAACAAATGTAGACTGCAGACACCAGGAGAGCTTTTCTTGTTTTATGATTTCTTGGAATATCTGTCAGGTCCCTAAGATCCTTATCGGGATGCTGCCATTCTGGTGGGGAGAGGGCCTTGGGATGCTTCTTTACAACTTCTTTCCTATATCTGGACTTCCTGTCACTTTGATGTACCTGCTTGGGAAAGGGAGGGGGAGGGAACTGCCTAGGGCCATCTGAGAACAACTTACCACTTTTCTCGGCTTGGCACTTCACACCTGTGAATTGGTTCGCTTCCGACTGGACATAGGGGACAGGTTTTCTGCAACGTTTAACCTAACGGTTTTTGAGTGAGAACTTCAGATCCTGCCTTGCTTTCCCTTTCTCCCAATAAAGGTTTCCTTTTGAAATAATGCCTGTTTCAAGAGTTCTGTTTTCTTGAGGAGAGAGGAGGGACAAGTCCTTGCAGTAGCCCATTAATATGTTTTGGAAAATATCCCGGTATCTTCCAAACGTTGCTCCTGTGATCTCTGATTATCCTATGTTCCTTTTTAGGCTTGGCTGACAGAAATCCACGAATATGCAAAGCAAGACGTGGTCCTTATGTTACTGGGAAACAAGGTGAGTGCTTGACTTACAGCCTGGTGTTGGACTGGATCTGTTTTGGACATAGAAGCTGTTTAACAAGGGTAGAGGGCAGAGGAAGCTAGAGGTGTTTTGCACAGGAAGAAATAAAACCTCAAAACACTCATCTACCTCATACCCCTGCCTCATACCCTCACCTGCTGCAGGAAGGGTGGTGGGGCCCTGGTTTGGTCCATCCAAGCTGGAGACCTCCCAGGCGATGGGACCGGTGTGATCTGAGCAGTCCCAGAATGCACTGCTCCTGCTGCAAACATTGATGCTTTCTTGTTGTACTCAGGTGGATTCAACCCAGGACCGAGTGGTGAAAAGAGAAGATGGGGAGAAATTAGCAAAGGTATGCAGGTCGCCCACTTCATTAAAATTAAGGGCAATTTGGCTCCAGGAGACCTTCAAAAAATTGCATCTGCTTCCACAGCTAATAGAACCTAATCTCTTCTGCTGCACCATGTTATAGAGAATTACAGGGAAGAGTGCCAACAAAATTACATGCTATGCTATTACATAAAATTATTATTAAAATTACACATCCACCAGGAAAAGATCAAAACTTGACAAGGAATTGGAGATAATGATTCAGGTTGTGCTTGAGCTGCATTTGCAGGAGATGGCAGACTGCATTCGGTCTTGCCTCGGTCTTTGTTTATAGAACCAAGGATTGTTTTTGGCTGCTGCCGCACACTGCTGGCTCATGTTTAAGTGGTAAATATGATGATCTGTTTTTGAGCAGCCAAGAAACAAAAAGGATGACCTCCACTGAAGAAATTAGCTCTATTCAGTGGAACTGTGTTGGGGCTTGTCGGCCACCGTCCCTTTCAGTAGCCGAATCAGAGGAGGAGGTGGTGGAGGAGGAGGAGGAGGAGCAGGAAGGGTGGGAGTCAGGGTCAGCATGAAAGCAACCTGAGAGCTCCAAGGGGGAAGAGGAAATGGAGCTGGCAGAGAGAGAGAAAGAGAGGGAGGGAGGGAGGGAGGGAGAGAGAGAGAGAGAGAGAGAGAGAGAGAGAGAGAGAGAGAGAGGCGGAGCCTTGGCCGTCCGTCAGCCCTCAGATGGAGAGTCAACAGCCCCCAGGTCTGGAGGTGGCTGATGAGGAAGAGGAGGAACATCTGGGTTCAGTGCCTGACGTGTGGATGCGGAGAAGGCAGAGGAGAGGAGAGCAGTGGAAATCTATGGGCCGGTCCTAGGGAGCCACCGCTGCTAGCGAACCCCCACCCTACCTCTGGTGATAAAAGGCAGGGGGTGGAGATGAATAGGAGTGGCAGACAATTATTCATCTCCCTGCTGGAGCCTGGGCTACTGACGCCGCTATAAAGGAATCATTGCTTCAACTACGGAGGGTTTGTCGTGTTTGGGGAGCTGGCTCAGAACAAATGCTTGCCTCTCAGAGTTGTGGATGTTCCATTACTGGAGGCTTTCAAGAAAAGATTGGACCACAATTTGAGGTGGTATGAGGACCCCTGCCAAAGACAGGGAGGGGTCTGGGCTAGAAGATCTCCAGACCCCTCCCAACCCTAGGATTGTAGGATTCAATTCTTTTGCAGCATCTCTGGGCTGCAGTAAGGTACAAAAGATACTTCCAGCCCAGGGACATCTTGAGGCAGCCTGTCCAGGATAACATGCATGCAGAGGGAAGCTGCACAGAATCCGGAACCACAGAATCCGTGTGGGATCGTCCACGCCCAATCTGAGAAAGAGAATTGGAGAGGAAAGCAATGAGCCCCAAATGTCTTATTTCTTTGGTGCAGGAATACGGGGTGCCCTTTATGGAGACCAGCGCCAAGAGCGGATTGAATGTGGACTTAGCGTTCATGGCCATCGCAAAGTAAGTTCCTTCATTTCCATTCTCCCATCAAAAGTGCATCTCCATCGCCAACATGCAGCTCCCAAGAACATTGCTGATGTTTGGCAGAATAAGAAGTAGAAAGGGGGGGTGCAGGGTCTCTTAAGATGTAACACAGGATAAGCTTTATTGTCACTTTTTTCTGTAAATACACTGGCACACATTAAAAAATGAAATTCGGATGCCCGCTCTCAGAAGGATAGATAGATAGATAGATGATAGATAGATAGATAGATAGATAGATAGATAGATAGATAGATGATAGATAGATAGATAGAGATGAGATAGATAGAGATGATAGATAGATGATAGATAGATATAGATGATAGATAGATAGATAGAGATAATAGATAGATGATAGATAGATAGATAGATAGATAGATAGATAGATGAGATAGATAGATGATAGATAGATAGATAGATGATAGAGAGATAGATAGATAGATGATAGATAGATAGATAGAGAGAGAGAGATGAGATAGATAGAGATGATAGATAGATGATAGATGATAGATAGATGATAGATAGATAGATAGATAGATGATAGATAGATAGATGATAGATAGATAGATGATAGATAGATAGATAGATAGATAGATGATAGATAGATAGATAGAGAGAGATGAGATAGATAGAGATGATAGATAGATGATAGATAGATGATAGATGATAGATGATAGATAGATAGATAGATAGATAGATAGATAGATAGATAGATAGAT